GAAACATTCTGACTTTTATGCTGTTAATAAAGCTAACCTTGAAAGCAATGCAAGGCTATAAGTGCTCAAATAACTGAATTATTTAATGTACAGTAATACTTAAAGTCCAACTCTAAATAAGTCACTAGCTATTATCAGTGCAGGACTACATTTGATGTGGGATGGGGGTGTTACTCAGCCTATTACTGAACATCTGGACTCTTCTACAAAAACTTTTATTTCAATTACTCCACCTAATGTCACTTTAAACATTATAATAGCTGCCCTATTTATAAGAGAAATCTTTATCACTCAGATGCAGAGAAATCCTTGCTTTAGTCAAAACATCCACACACACATTAAAATCTGATCCTGATTAAATTTTCCATGTGTGTAGCTTTTTAAGGGCTGGTCTACACTGGGGGGGGAGATCGATCCAAGATACGCAACTTCAGCTACGTGAATAGCGTAGCTGAAGTCGAAGTATCTTGGATTGAATTACCTGTGGTCCACACGGCGCAGGATCGACGGCCGCGGCTCCCCCGTCGACTGCGCTACCGCCGCTCGCTCTGGTGGAGTTGCGGAGTCAACGGTGAGCGCGTTCGGGGATCGATATATCGCATCTTAATGGGTATTTCTTCACTACGGGTAGTGAAGAAATACCCTAAAATACAGTCCTTGGCTCAGACTTGAGGTTGCCATTTTTCTTAATGTATTACTTTTTTATTCATGCTTGCAGATGGCCAAAATACATTCAATTCCAGTAGAAGTTAATCAAAGGCATGGTTGCTGAGTGGACGAAGTGTCTGCCTTCTACTTCTCATATACCAAGTTCCTATTCTGTTGTGGTTTATAAATTATTTAAGTCCTTTTATCTAGAAAAATGTAAAAAAAACAACCTACCTTAAGTAGCTCTACTATTGGATTCCTAACGAAGAAATTAAAGCTATTCACTATCTGATTACTTTAGCCAAAGTACAAATCCATCTTGAACTTGCTATAAGTTTAGGAAGTTTAATAGGAGGCTGTTACTTTGTTCTTAACTTACATTTTATCATCAAATCATTAATAGAACACAACCTGCATCTTGTGGTGCTCAGATGCAGTGCTGGTGGTCGTTGGTATAAGAACCCAGATTGAGCAGGAAATTTGCCACTTGTATTGCCTGTGTTTTATTTAGTGTATTTTGTGCCTGGCACCATTTTCTGACGCTAAGGTTTGCCACGTTAACTTGTAGTTTGTGGGAAGGTGCTGTCATAGGAATTTTTTTAACTCATTGGAGTAGAGCTTAAATGTAATCTGTATCTTCTGTACACTTTCCAGAATCTGAAATTTTCTGTTGACCTCCCTTGTGGCCTGATTGCCTTCTACTATTGCTGAGGTTGCAAAAATGCCATAAAGGCACCATTCTAAAGAAACTTGGTACTGACACAGTTGAATATTATAAAGAATGTTTTAGGCTGGCCCTGTTAAACACAGAACTAAGATGGATTCCCAGGCTTTTTAGTGTTAATATGTTAGCACTAGCTGCTGTGAAGCAAATTTTATGGAAATCATGACTCCTGTCAAAAAGGGGTTAACAAATCTTACCATTTTTGGTTGTTTTGCATAATCATCTTGATTATGATGTCAAATGGAGTTGTTTAAGACACAAGGAAGACTGAAGTAAATGAACAATTAGCATACAAAATTTCCTTATTAAACACATTAAAACGTGTACAAAAATTAACACTGATAATAGGTTTAGTCGGCTTGTTTAACTAGCATGTGCTGTAGACTGCCCATCTCCCATCTTTTGCTCAAACGTAAAGCAAAGTCAGGTTCTAAAACACAATACTGTATCTATTCCCTCTGTCTAGAAAAGCAAATACTTTGTGTTTCATGCAGTTTGTATCAGGTGCTTGTGGATCAGAATGATGGATCTTATGCTCTATGTTGAACTACACTGCGGTGATTAGGCCTCAGCTGCACTGTAGTGTCCAGTTTTGGGTGCCACATTTCAGGAAAGATATGGACAAATTGGAGAGAGTCCAGAGAAGAGCAACAAAAATGATTAAAGGTCTAGAAAACATGACCTATGAGGGAAGATTGAAAAAATTGGGTTTGTTTAGTCTGGAGAGCAAAGACTGAGGGGGAATATAACAGTTTTTAAGTACATAAGAGGTTGTTACAAGGAGGAGGGAGAAAAGTTGTTCTCTTTAGCCTCTGAGGATAGGACAAGAAGCAAAATGGGCTTAAATTGCAGCAAGGGTGATTTAGGTTGGGCATTAGGATTAACTTCCCTACTGTCAAGGTAGTTAAGCACAATGAATTGGCTGGAAAGGTTGTGGAATCTCCATCGTTGGAGAATATTAAGAGCAGGTTAGACAAACACCTGTCAGGGGTGGTCTAGATCAGTGCTTCTCAAAGCTGGTCCGCCGCTTGTTCAGGGAAAAGCCCCTGGTGGGCCGGGCCGGTTTGTTTACCTGCCGCGTCCGCAGGTTCGGCCGATCGTGGCTCCCACTGGCCGCGGTTCACCGATCCAGGCCAATGGGGGCTGCGGGAAGTGGCGCAGGCCGAGGGATGTGCTAGCCGCGGCTTCCCACAGCCCCCATTGGCCTGGAGCAACGAACCGCGGCCGGTGGGAACCGCGATTGGCCGAACCTGCGGACGCGGCTGGTAAACAAACCGGCCCGGCCCGCCAGGGGCTTTTCCTGAACAAGCGGTGGTCCGGCTTTGAGAAGCACTGGTCTAGATCAATGTTCCTCAAATGTGGCCACTGTGGCTGCCTGCGGCCACAGGCTCCTGGGCGGTAATTGGGGGGATGGGGAGAAGCAGCGGCCCCTCCCCTGGGGCCACTGGCAGAGGTTGGGTCCTGCCCCCCTCTGGAGCAAGAAACGCTGGAGGAGCAGGCAGCCGGTAGAGCTCAGGCTTCTGGCTTCAGCTCTGAGGTGGCAGGCGGCAGGCTCCAGCCATGGGGCGGTGGACTCTGGTCCCCGGCCGCAGGGCTTTGGCCCGGACCCACTGGCCCCCACTGCCTCCTGCAGCCCCCAGCCATCGCCCTGGCCCCCGCTGCCTCACTACCCACCTCACCATCGAGGGCTTAATTTGTCCCCCAGCTTGCTGGGGCTTTGTAAATGTGCTGTGAAAAATATTTGTATGTTAATATCACTTTTCACTGCCTCCTAACCAACTAGCAAGTCTGCTACTGTGAAAAAAGATATTAACAAACATACAAATATCACTTTTCATAGCAGTAGACTTACTAGCTAGCAAGTCTTAAGAAAAAGCAACAAAAAGGCAAAAGAAACAACAACAACAAAAGACAAGAGCGTACAAAGCACCTTATTTTTGTTTCTATTCTGGTTAGGTCCAGTAAAGAATAGAGACAACTGTACATTATTTGTATTATTGAGTTTAAAAATAAAAACAAAAAAAACCCTTTACATAAATAAATTACAATGATTTGGACATTCATATGTGCATATTTATTTGTTGTTCCTAAAGTTAGTTGAGTATTTTAGGAAAAATTGTCAAAGTGACCACCAGCAAGAGTTGGTGGCCGCACTCTGAGGCCACCGAAAAAATTGTTGTGAGAACCCCTGGTCTAGATAATACTTAGTTCTGCCTTGGGTGCACGGGAGTGGACTAGGAGACCTCTCGAGGTCCCTTCCTTCCTATGTTTTTCTGATTCTATATCAAGTATTTAATAGGGTAACTTGTTAAACTGTTATATTAGTAACCATTTTTGGTTCTGCTAATGGAATTTGAGTATGTAGTAAAAGGAGGTTGATTTTATTTAATACATTTGAAATGATTTTAATCATTTTTAAATTCTGATTTGTCTTCCATTATTATCCAGATAGAAATTTGTGGCCTTTAGAAGTAGAACCATCATAGAGCAGTAAGATTCAGTACTAGGTACTTGAGGTTTGCACAGGGATTTAAACCAGCTCCTCTTAAAAGTAATCTGCTGTTCATTTCCTAATAAACATATCACAAACTTAAGTTCCTTTTTGAATTGGGGCCTTAGTCTTTGGTTTGGTTTACACTTAAAAGTTAGGTTGACATAGCTACCGGTAGGTCGTTTGGGTTTGGTCCTCAATAGCTATACCTACCTCTCTCCCCAATGCCCCTTGTGTAGATGCAGCTATGTTGACAGAAGAATGCTTCTGTAGACTTAGCTAAGTTCCTTCAGGGAGGAGGTAGTCTTACACAGATGGGAAAAATCCCTGCCATCAGTGTAGGCTGCCTGCCTGCTGTGGGGTTCTTTCCATAGTATGGATACAGCTTTTTGTCTCTTTCTTACCTCTAAATGGGAATAATACTCCATTTCTCCAACCCTTTGTCTTATTTATTTATAGTGTTGGCTCTATAGGGCAGGGACTTCTGTATTTTTGCTATATGTCTGTACAATACCTGGCATAATGGGGTCTCAGTTGAGGACTAGATACTACCATCATACAGATAATATGTATGGAGATGGCTGTGGCTCTCATCCACGCCAGAGCTGAAGCACGTTGGTGAGGCAGCCCATATTAAAGCTCTAGTCCTGCAAGGAGCTCCTCGTTTGGAGAGTCCTGTGCTCACATGGAGTTCCACTGAAGTCAGCGAAGATGTGCCCAGGCACAAGTCTATGCATATGGACTTGCAACATCTGGGCCTAACTGTGCATTAATCAGCAGATGACTTCTGTCTCCAAAGCTCTCAGTCCAACATTTCTTGCAAGCATTAGGTTTGAATGGGAAAATGTAATCTATGCTATTTAGGTTTTTATACTGTACTCATCACTGTAGTATCTGAACACCTTAATAGTGGAGTATCTCCATAATCTGAAGTTAGAATGTAGTTTGCATGTACATATATTAAAACTGAAAAGCTTTCAGAACAACTGTTGAATTTGCTAACTCGTAAAATATTTTGCTAAATTAAGGGATTGTGCTTGGCTCAGCAAGAAGTTCCTGCTTTCGTTTTTAATAATGCTGAATGGAGTAAATAAAAATTTAGATATTTACATGTTCCTTTTAATCTTACAGATATGTAGGGAACCTATCAAGAGATGTGACTGAGGCACTAATCCTCCAGCTGTTCAGCCAGATTGGACCATGCAAAAACTGCAAAATGATCATGGATGTAAGGGCCTTTTACTTGGATAACTTTTCCCACTCCTTGTAGCATGTCAGTTTAAAGAAATCCTTGTACATTTAACTTTTCATGAGTACAATGAAGAAATTTAAAGAAGGATGCTGAAGAGCTTAACTTGTTGATGCAAACTTCAGTGATGGGTATGATATTGTAAAAGGAATAGAGCATATGATGTAATTGGACTCAAATGTTAGTTGCTAGTTCTTTTGTTATATCAAAAGGGCGGGGGGAGGCACAAAATATGCTAACCAAGATACCTACCACAGCATAGTTTTAAAATATTTTTCTAATATTTGCTAATATTGTGACTGGCTTAAAGCTGTTACAGCAAGCTTTCTCTAAATTGCTAAGACTTTCAGACATAGATATAACTGGGCACCAACTACAATTTGGTTAAAATTTGAGGGGGTGATAATGTTTAATAACGTGCTTTTTTTAACAGACAGCTGGAAATGATCCATACTGTTTTGTGGAGTTTTATGAGCATCGTCACGCAGCTGCAGCATTAGCTGCTATGAATGGACGGAAGATAATGGGTAAGGTAAGCTGTCATGTCTAAAGCGTGAGTTGCGGTGGAAATAACAATATATACAATGATATGGATGAAACATCTTTAAAATAAACAAAACAAACCCCCAAGCAGAACTGAGCCACAAAAGGTAAACACTTTCTCCTGTTTTTTTTATCTTGTAAAGTGAAGAACTTTTAACTTCATTTGAGCTTTACGATTGTGGTGGTAAAAACTGGATAGTGACAGTTCATAGGAGGGTTGGGTACAGAAGTAGGACAGGGAAGAAGTCAAAATGGTTGTAATAAATATTTTAATTCCATTGATCTTGAAGGTGAGGGAGACTAGCAGAGCAATAAAGCAAGATTAGTTATCTTCATTGTAAAATGGCTTAATGTAGCTGGAAATAGAACATTTTACCAAGAAACTTCAGCCACTTAGACTAATGTCTTTAACTACAAACTTGTGTACCTTCTCCCCCTGCAGTATAGAAATTAATAGCTAACAAAATCAGAATATGGTTCCAATATTTACTTTAGCAAATGTTATTTGTAGGAGGTCAAAGTGAACTGGGCAACAACCCCCAGCAGCCAGAAGAAAGATACCAGCAGTAAGTGCCCTTTATGCTTTTGAGTAATTTTTTTATTTGCGCAAATAGTTTTTAAACGTAAGCAATAAGCATCATACAAATGTTTGCAGTAATGTTTTGATCATTATCCTAAGATGATATTAAATGTGTTTGTGTTAATAAACTTAAGAACAAATCTAATCTTTGTCATCAGGTAGTACCGTTGTCAGCACACTGCGTTCACAAGGTAATTGTATCTTCTTAAACATAAAATGAAATCTCTCAAGGGTATTCACTAACCAGCTGAAGCTATTTTGGGGGTTTTTGTTCTGTTTTGTTCTTACGTTTGTGGCAAGATTTCCCTCTCCTTTCCCCATTGCATCAGAATGTGGTCTGTTGTCCACTCTTTTTCATTCTGGTGCTGCTTCTTATAGTCCTTTGACCCCATTAGTCATGACTGCTATTCTAGAATTTCACCCACTATGAGAGCAAGAAAATCAGCTGCCTTCAAGGCTGTTATATGTGCTGCTCCATACAAACTCATTTGGAGTACTTAAATTGCTTCTGAAATTCCCCTTTCATGGCAACCCAATGTGTTGCTTCTGTACTTGGCCAGCCTTAAACTGCTTTTAAGAATTTGCGGTTTAACCAAACTAGTATTGTAGTGGATTTGTAAGTTTCACACCTGCTCTAATATAAGTTAGTCTGTATAGTGTTAACTATTAAAATATACTTTATGAAAAATTGTTTAATCAAAGTGGAAAAAATCCTGAGATGTGGGATCTTTATTTCTCTCCAGTGCTCTTTTTAATGTCTGTGACATAAAGTGAAGGATTACTCTTTTCATCTGTTGCCTTCAGTCTTAGTTCACTTGCACATGGATTCAGTTGTATTGAATACACATGGATTCACATGATGTAATGGCTGGGCAACCAAAACTGTTTGACTTTTGAGAAAACTGTCAAATTCTTTAACATCAAACTATTGCAATGCAAGGTATTTCTTTGTTCTTCACAAAATATGGTTACACCAAACATTTTGTAGCTAGGTTCAATATCCATCCTACTTTTAAAGCAAATTTTATTCTACATTGCTCACAAAACCACTAGATGCTTTAGTTGGTAAAGTTTTGGATAGTTAATGAACTATCTGTAAATGTGTTTAATTTTAACATTACTATTGTAACATTAAGATTTTAAAGTAAGCTTTGGCTTTTAAGTAAACAATTGCAATCTCTGGTAAAATAGTGACTGGTTATGAACATAACTACAAAAACAAAATTTGAGTTAAATACTGTACATCACAGCATTATCCTTAAAATTATTGCTTTTGTTATACTGTCACCAAGTGATGGTTATATTTGAAGCAGTGACAAATGTTACCTTTGATAGGTAAAGGATTTTAGTTTCCCATGTAGCTCTCAGATATATGGAAGTTAATGCAATATAAAGTTGCTATACTGCTTGTGTTTCCAGGAACATTCTTCACACTTGTAAATTATTTTCTCTCTTTTTCCCAATAAGACCATTTCCATGTCTTTGTTGGAGACCTCAGTCCAGAAATTACAACTGAAGATATAAAAGCAGCTTTTGCACCGTTTGGAAGAATATCGTAAGTGATTTCTTAGGGCAAATAAATTAAACGTTACCTTTTACTGGAGGCAAGCTTACAGTAAGTAAAAGTCCAGTCAAGTTGCAGAAGTGACTGCAACGCACACTTTTTGTGTTCATAAAGAGACTTCAGAGTTCTAGTACTTGAGTAATAAGTAGGGATACATAATAAAATTACCCACCAGCAGTCAGTTTTCTTTTTTTAGAAAAATTCACTGTATATGTAGCTTTTTTATACTGTAGAAATCCTTGTGTAACTTGGAGGATGTCATACTGGGTAGTTTCTCTGACATGGGTCTTGTATTTCATTTGCCACTAAATGTAATCATACATGTAATCATTCTTAAAAAAATAGTTTAATATGGATCAAATTCCATGTGCATATTCAGGTCCAGTCAGATTTTGGCTTTTTGATGATAGTCTAGGTATTTAATACAAAAGTTCGGTTAAATAAAATAGTTTGTACTTCTAGTTTAATAATCAGTTTGGTTGTTTAACGCTTGCCTTGTGGTTACATCTAAAGGCCACAACCAGTTTGGGCCTCATTGTACTAGTCACTATACAAACAGTAAATAAGAGTCCCTGGCCCAAAGAGCTGAGTCTGAAAGACAAGATTTAACAGGTGGATAGGGAGAGACAAGTGAGGTGGGGAGATGGGTTAACAAGTAGAACAGTATGTGTAAAGACTTAGCTGATCAGTGGTAGTGATCACAGCTCTCTACCTGCCTACTCATTACTATTTGCTGTATTAACATACAGCTGTAATGCTTATAGTTTGAAAAGCATATAAAAATACATGCTTTGTAGCAGGGCTAAGAGCGGCTTGTTTGTTCCTTCCTCCAATTTAAACTGTTCATTTACCTTTAACTAACTACTTGTACTTGGATTGCTGCTCCTTGATGGTGAGGTACCAAGATAAGTGCTTTGAAGTGTTGTGTAGTGATGCTTTTATTTGAAACAAGTTTTTCTTATGAACTCCAATGTATTGGACTTAAATCCTAATTTCGTTTCTTATGATAGGGTTTTCAAATTTGATCTGCAGGAGATTCTCATTTTAGAAAACACTAATTTATATTTTAGATTTTTTTTTTAATTTTAATCACTGTCTCTCTCTGTAGAGGTAGCAGGTATACTTACTTGCGGAGGAGGTTCAGTGCTTCACATAGCTGAACATCTACTCTCCTGAATGACACATGGCTTCTAAAGTAGGTCTTATCTGTCCTCATCCAGAAGGATTAGTCTGGGAAGGAGGAAGTCGTACACTGAAATGTAGGAGGGATAGTTTTAGGCAGATCCTCTTTCAGAGCTGCAATCATCTTTCCACCCCAAAATACTGGTCTAGCAGTCAACTGCACAAGGCTTTTTTGAGAGCTGGCTTAGTGCTGGTCTACACTGAAAAAGTTACGTACGTTGGCATAACTACATCTCTCAAGGCTGTGAAAAATCCATACCTCTGAAAGATGTAGTTAAGCCAACCTAACCCTCAGTGTAGACAGGATAGGGTACTGCCTCATGAAGAGGTGGATTATCTGCAGCAACAAGAAAACCCCTCTTGACACTGGTTAGTGTCTACACTGAAGTACTGCAGCGGTGCCAGCATAGCTGTGCCAGGCATTGCCTTACTTTGCAGTTTATATACTGATACTCAGAGTGTAAAGAGGGTGGTTAGTTCCAAATATAGGCTATTTAAACTTGCTGCCTTCTTTTTTTTCTTTTCCAGTTCCTCTGAGGGGCGTTTGTGTATAAAATAACTCTTAAAACTGTGTACCGCATGTCTGAAAAACAGGATTACTAGGATCCTATATATCATTCCCTTTGTTCCAAAAGAGATTCTCGTAGTGGTGATTCTCTCTGCAGTGAGAGAGCTGATTATCCAGACTTTGCAGGGCCTAAAGGTGTTTTTTTTTTTTTTTTTTAGTCAGGTTTTAAATAACTTGTGTGTGCGACCCTCTTATCCTTTCTCTTTGGGGTATTCAGTACAGAATCGTAGGGCTAACTATCTGAAAAACCTTTTAGGTCACCTTGGCTCAAGCTGACTTTTTGTGGTGGGTGGGGGGAGGATTTAAGATCCCTCTTTGTTGTAAACTGTTGTCCTAAGGAAGTAAGGGTAAATAGTAATAGAGTGGACCTTGATTTCACACAGTTACTCAATTAAATGTGTGAAGAATACTCCATATTTATAAAACGAAATTAAAAAAAAATATTTTTTTGTATATTTAACTCTTCTTAGTCATTGACTAATTCCTGGAAATGTGATTGAGATTTTTTTTCTGTGAAATAATCAAAGTTGAACCAACGCATGATTAGCACGTAAAAACTTTTGGTAGTTTTATACAACTTAATCTTTAATATAAATACATACATCTTTATTGTGGTCTCCCTTTATGTTTGGTGTATGCATGTTTTCACTTGTTCAAGTCTTATTTTCAAAGTTTTCAGTTGAGGGTAAGTATAGCTTAGTTTTTATTTCCTTTTTAGGCTGTGCAGAGCAAACTGATCTAAGATTACATAAATGACTGTTCTCAGGCAATTTGTAACATATTATTCAAATTTTCTTAATACAGAAAATTGCAAGCAGTTTAACGCTTGCTTTTTCATGAAGGGTTTAAGGTACATTTCATTCTGTAGTGTGTGAAAGTGGTCTTAATTTGAGCCTTTCAGTGATCTACATATTCTCTATAGCCATATGTGTAGAAGAACTAGGTTTTAATACAGAATGCAATTATTTTAAAAGGTTTTAAAACTGGCATCATAAAACTCTCATTATGATTTTTCTGCCAGTCGTGGAATACTGAATATTGTGCATCTAGTTGATCTAAACCATATTTTATAAAGCCTTTACATTACACTGCATGACTTGCTGACTGGTTTTATTTATCTTGTTTTTTTCAAAAGTGCCTGTATTTTTATGGGGTTGGGGAGGGCAGGATAGTGGTGTGTGTGTGTGTGCGTGTACTTCTTGATATTTGGCTAACTGTACACGAATTGCCTGAGAAACACCATTTAATAAAATCAGACTTTCCACAAATGGGGTTTAGCTATTGTAGCTGGGTCTCTCCTTTTTTTTACTCAATCTCAAATAATAGGCCTCTGGTTATTTTGCAGAGTGTCTCTGAAGAATGGACAGAATTGCCATGGCTAACTACAAGCTACAGTTCACAGTGGACAAACGTTGTAGTTTTCTTATTTACTTATATAAATTTTGCCTTTTATATCTTGTAGTTTCCAATCAATCCTGTATGATTGCTGTTTGCGAATGCAGTTTTAAATTCTTTATAATAGTATATAGTTTAAAACGTAAATGTCTTTAGTGTTTTATTTCCTTCGATAATGCAACCATTTCTGAAAATGTCAATTTTTCAAAATTTACAGCTGCCCACAGTCCAAAAAGGGGGTAACGAATTGACCTGAGAAACTTAAAGAATTCAGTTAACAGGCGACGTATGCCTTTTAATTCCTATTTTTTTCATTTTTCTATTTCATATTTTTAATGAGTAGGTAGAATGTGTTGGCAATTAGCAAGCTATAAATTGCATGGTTAAAGAGAGCCATTCAGCTAATGTTAGTCAGCTGTGTGGCTTAAATGAGTCATTTGAATAGCTGCTTTGACCATGCTTAGTGTCTTAACAATATGTTAAAGCATTTTGAACTGGGAACCATCTATTGTAAGATATGTGTTTATTAGAGAAACTATTGATTTGCATGTTTACAAAATTAAGTTTAATTTTGCTACTACATGACAAAACACTAGTAATGTTTTTGTTTAGAAAAGGAGGAATTTGTTTTGAATATGTTGCTGGTGCATTAAACAGTTCACTTTAATAAAGGTGAAACATGAAAATGAGGTCTGTGTGTGACTCACTGTCATTTTATTATGTTTTTTTTTATATGCTAAATTGGCCATTGCTTCTGCTTTTTAGAGATGCACGAGTGGTTAAAGATATGGCAACAGGGAAATCTAAAGGATATGGCTTTGTTTCCTTCTTCAATAAATGGGTAAGTAATGGCATTATAGATAGTATGAGTTCTAAAATCTTGGTAGTTGCTTTAAAGAGAACAGCTGTGTAAAACATGTACATTTTTGGTCCCTTTTATATCTGGTACTGTATCAGTTTCCCCTTCTGTAAATAGGTAAGTAGTAGTATTTCCATCTATCATGTGATATTATAAGGCTTCATTCATGTTTGGAAAGTACTTAGCACTTTCTAAGCATCATCCCTATGTAAGTGCAAAGTATTTATGTACAGAGATGAAAACTAGAATACTCACTCAGACTGATATTTGTATCTGAAAATTTTACTTTTTTTCTTACATTAAATACAAATTACTTCGGACTGAGTTATTTGGCTCTGGCAGAATGGCAGTGTTTTAGTGCTTAAAGGTCTGGTGCACTACTCTCTAAAGCAACTTGTATTTGGAAATACTTTTATAGGATTTGCATTACATCATTAGTCAGTTTTTATAGAGCCTTATTAGTGGTCTGGGGTGGAAGGTATTCAACATAAAGGGAGAAAATGGAGCTAACCAGTTGAGTATTAAACTTAGAATAATCAAACATTCCTACTTACAGCTTCTTTATGGGCAGGGTACTAATAACTTATGGCTCCAAATCTCTCTCTCTCACTCAGAAATAATACACTTTGGAGGGAAGAAAGAGTAGGGCAAGCCGTTATGTGGTCTCAGTATATTTTGAAAATGGGAGATTGGGGGAGTTTAAAAAAACACCACCACATACTTTTCGTGGTGTTAGGCCAGACCAGTTTGAAATATTGGGTCTGAGAGATTTATTCTAAATGCAGATGAGGGAGAGCTAGAGACTCAGCTAAAGGAATGTTCCTACAGCCTTTCAACTTAGTGGAGCAACTGCACAAACATGCTCTACAAGAGTGCATAACTCTTCTTGGGATACATTCAGTTTGGCCTAAAATAACTGCCTTAATCCTGTATTTTAAACATCTTTTTGAAGAACAGATTTTATTTCAATATTTGTTAGAAGTTGGCAATATCTGAGTCTGACAGACCTATGATGATTCGCTTTTAGTATGGTGTTGCTCAAAAAGAATTTGCTGAAAAATATTTTTCCCCTATGGACAGGATGCAGAAAACGCTATTCAGCAGATGGGTGGACAGTGGCTTGGTGGAAGACAAATCAGAACTAACTGGGCAACACGAAAACCTCCAGCTCCAAAGAGTACATATGAATGTAGGTTTTTAGTTTCTGTCCACCTTGCCCCCACCCAAATAAGGAAGAAATGAAACCTCTTATTAGTTCTAAGTATTAGCGCTTCTATCTTGAAAAAATTCAATGCCCTGTAGAATTCAGAAGTAAAGATTTTGCTTGAAGAAATATGATATGTTAAATTATAACTTTACACAAATTTCCTTAAATACTAATATTAACATTTAAAAACCTTTCAGTTACTTTTCAGTACTTATTCAGTCTTGCATTTCAGTCAGCTTGGACAATGAAAGTAGTGTTTTTGATTTAACTTGTTTTAATGCACTGCCAGTGTTTCAGTTTTTGTGGTGAAAATACTGGGTGGGGGAGGAGTGTATTTAGACTTAAACTGATGGAAGAAAATATTTCCATTAAGTGTATTTAAAAGTAGATTTATAAACCTGAATTTTGGGCTTAATTTAAATGACATCCCTCTAAACATTATATTCATCAGTAATCCATCCCATTTATTATTTGGAATTTACATGTCTCCTATTTGAGATCATCATGTATTTTGAATGTAGCTTTCCTTTTGGAATGCACTTTTGTTTCTTTATTTTGTGAAAATGACTCAGTTGGGAAACCTCACTGACGTTTCATGTCCCTTTTAATGCTTGTAGTTCTTTGCTTTACATATCTCTCACTTCCTAAACTACCACTTGGGAGGATTTTATAGCTGTATATTTTGTAAGCTAAGTCTAATGGTAAAATTAAAGATTTACAGGAGAAAATGTATCGGTCTGATTTAGGCATCGCCCAAAAAAGACCTAGGATCCTTGCTCTTTGTAGACTTCTGAAGACAGGAGGAAAGTAAATAATTTGTTTAAATAAAAAACTTAAAAAACATTTTCTTTACAGCAAACACCAAGCAGCTGTCTTATGATGATGTTGTCAATCAGTCGAGCCCAAGCAACTGTACTGTATATTGTGGTGGTGTTACTTCAGGACTAACAGGTATGGCATCTTCTAAATTTTGGGGTTTCCTCATAAAATGTATCTAAAAATCAGAAGTACTTCCTAATTTTGATTGTCTACCTTTTCTACACTGCAGAACAGCTAATGCGCCAGACCTTTTCTCCATTTGGGCAGATAATGGAAATTCGAGTCTTCCCAGATAAAGGGTACTCTTTTATACGGTAGGTTACATTTTGCTCACTTTTAAAAACGTTAACTTTTACCTTTCCCTTGAAAACACGTTAAGCACTGGTGTCAGAATGTTTCTAGTAGGAAACTAGCCTAGACAGACTTAGACTATCCTTCAGTGTCTACAGTTTAAACTATAGTCTCATCTTGTTTGTGTGGTAATGTTGATCTGAGTTAACAAAGATGTACTACTTTTCTTTTTATAACTTCATAGTTGTAAGTATTGGATATGATTCTTGCAGATTCAGAATCATATTTTTAAATGCACTTTCTTACATTATTTTCACAGACAGCGCTGTAGATAATCAAAAATGCAGCTTAACACAATTTCAGATTTTACCTATCATGTATGCTACTTACTTTTTGTAGCTCACTCAAGGTGAGACAGTGAAACTAGATAGGTCAGTTTTGCTTTCTTAATCTTCTGTACTACTACAATGCTGCAGTATTTGGGTTCCCTTGCAAAGACTAGTTTCTCCTGCAAACAATTATTTTTCATGGTTTTTTTTTCTTTTTATAATCAAACTTGGAAACTCTTAAAACTTCTTAAAGTGCAGGCACACTTTTAGGCTGACAGTCTCCTTTTAAGTGTCTTGTCTGTAGGTGTATGGAAGGTGGGTTTATATTGATGTTCCTTTTGTATCTTAACAGGTTCAATTCTCATGAAAGTGCTGCACATGCAATTGTTTCTGTCAATGGAACTACTATAGAAGGGCATGTTGTGAAGTGCTATTGGGGCAAAGAAACACCAGATATGATCAATCCAATCCAGCAGGTCAGAGAACAAACTTACACTAACTTGTAAGATGGTGATTAGTGTGATCTTATTAATGAGATTCTTAACATATTTCTAGCATGGAAATACATATCAGTTTCAGGGTGGTGGGTTGTGGATTTTATGTGCCATGTGACCTCCCAAATTAATTCTTGCTTCCATGATATCTGCCTTTTAAGATACTTGATCAAAATTAAACTGTTTGGAACTTGTGGAAACCTGCTTTGGACAATGATAAAGAGAGAGTGGGAAGAGCTTTAAGTTTCTGTCTGAATTTCAACTTTGCTCTTTCCTGCAGTGCTGTCTGGAAGAGTTATCTGTAATATTAGACTGCTGTACTCCAGAGAATACTCAGCAAAATATGTGTGTGCAGGGGGTGGGGTGATTTTTCATATATATAGCGTTAGAGGGTGTTGCCCAGCTAAATTTTATAATAACTTTCAAAATGAGGTATTAGAATATAAGCTCTTTTAAGTTCTTGATTAAAGGCTAGCTTGATAGGTAGGAGTTTCTACATCAATAGATAAATATGACTGTTATTAGTGTATTCAATATTTCACCTTTCCTTGCAGAATCAAATTGGATATCCACAGGCTTATGGCCAGTGGGGCCAGTGGTATGGAAATGCACAGCAAATTGGTCAGTATATGCCTAATGGTTGGCAAGTCCCTGCATATGGAATGTATGGACAGGCATGGAATCAGCAGGGATTTAAGTGAGTATGCATGCTAACTGATCTGTGTGCTATAAATAAATTGTGAAGAATGATGCTTCATTGGGGGAAATCATCAGTTGAATTTGGGATTCATTGAAGTACAAGGAAGTTGTACCATTGTAAACTGGTGTAAGAAGATCAGGTCCCATATCTATCTGAAAGTACAATAGGAATTTTAGGTTGGCAGAATAATTACCATACTTGAAATATTTTCAGGGTGTAAGGGACTACTACCCTTGCAAAAATGCCAGAACTACCTTTTAGAGTAGGGGATGTATACGGCGGTGTCCTGGTCAAACTAATACTCTCTTTACTAATGGTCATCTTGAACTTCTTGTAAATATAGGGACATTTTGTTCCTTTGTCCTAGCCAAATTCTAACTCTGGTAATTACACTATGCCTACTTACAATTCCTTTGAATTTTAAATTTAAATCAGTATTTAGTTATTTCAAACAGCTGCTATTACTTCCCAGTTGTGGGTGAAGTGATGTCTGTGCATGTGCACTCATGTACCTGAAAATTGATTTCTTACGCAGAATACTTCAGGGTTTAAATGTTGGATCCATTAACCAGTAGTTAAACTCAGATCTACTATAATGACCTAAATCCATTGAACTACCCCTTCTGAGGGGTCTGGTGGCAACAAGCTACTTGAGCTTTACTCTTTCCTCCCCTCTGTTCCCATGCCAGCCCAGATATAACTACAGATGTTTATAAAACAATCTGGCCCTCTTTAAAATTCAGCTACATACAGCAGCAGTGAATTCCTGCATGGATTCTTTGTTTTTTACACTTACTGCCCTTAGTTGTCAACAGTTTTCCTCTTTTGCTTATGCTTATATCTGCACTTCATAAACATTTAAGTAACACCAATCTAACTGACAAGTGTTGTGAGGGATTTTATCTCCACTGAACTTGTCTGTTTTCCCGTCTGTAATGGGCCTGCATTTTTTTCAGAAGTGCTGAGCATCTACAGTTCCAGTTGACTTCAGTGGTGCTTAGCATGTCTTAAAGTAAGGTCCTAAATGACTTGCCGAAAGCCATAACATCAGTGTCAGAGCTGGGGTTACCTTTAGGAATTTTTCTGTTCTAGGCAAGTTTCTGTTGGCCAAAACTTGGAAAGTATCTAATTAGCTTTCAGTGTAGTGTGGCAGTTCTTATCCTCTCCAATCTCTTTATGTAAATTCAGTCTTTTGGAACTATACATTTTCTGTAATCACCTCTCTTCCCCCTCCCTCCACAACAGTCAGACACAGTCTTCTGCCGCATGGATGGGTGCAAATTACGGAGTTCCACCACCTCAGGGGCAGAATGGAAGTGTGTTAACTAATCAAACTGGATATCGCATGGCAGGTTTCGAAACTCAGTGAGAGAAAAGGACTCTGGAACCTAACACCAGTGACTTGAGGCAACAAGGAGTGCTGTAAAGCCTTTGTTTACTTAGATTTATCAAGTCAGTGCAAATGTCCGATACAGTGTATTTATTTAAAGAAATCATTTAAATCATGAAACTATTTGTCATCCACATTGTTTAAAAAAACAAACAAACAGGAAAAACTAGATGCTGGATGTCTGCCAACTTTTGCCTTCTTTTCCTCCTTTTGATGTGTGTTTCTTAAGATCCTTGTTTGAAACACAACAAATGCAGGGATTACTGCCACTGTTAAATTGGGGCAGAAAATTGCACAAAGTCAAACTTTTTTTTTCTTCTGAAGTAGTGTGCAGTTTTAGTTTGCATTCCTAATGGTTTAAAATGTGTTATAAACAGTTGTACAAAAAAGCCAAAACTGTGTGAATTCTGAAGGTTCTTTACAATCTTCAGCCTGTGCACAAATTAGTTTTAAAAATAGCCTATTGTATAAAGTGTCCATCTCTCCACTTTTGTTTATACCAGGGTTTTCAAATATAAATTATTTTACATCATTTTGTATCTAGACATTTTTCAAACAGTTGTCTTTGCCTTATGTCATGAGGAAAATGTGATGCTCAGCATAAAATTGTGTGCACAACTCTCAGATGGATCTAACTGAAGTCACATTGTGTTCTACGTGAGAAGGTGCCTAGAGAAATCTCTGTTGGATTTGTTCTATAGGATTTTTATCTTCAGTGATAAACTTTGATGTGTACTAGGGAATATAAAATCCTGTTACAAATACCACAATGTGACAAATTCCTAAGAACCAGCTTTTTTCTGTCAATCTACATTTACACATATCCATTATCATGTAAAATATTTTAGCAAACTAATATTTTGCACAAAAGTTAGAAAACTTTGTATGTTTCCTTATTTAAAGGTAGGATGCAGAGTCCTTTCACGTGATTTATGCGTAACATTTTTAAGGGTTTTTTTGGTCTTGCATGTGAATATCAAATATACACTTTGGTAGTCTTTGAATACAAAGTCATCCGCTCTTTTTTTAAAGAAACTGTAAAAGACACAAAGTTGTATGTAGAAAACAAATCAGTCTTGCTGTTTACTGATAGTAAATTTTACTCAAATAGAGTAAGTTGACTTGATTTTAACATGTACAATTAGAGCTGTGAAAACTGTAGCATTGTATGTGTAAGCATCAGGCGGGGGGGTATGTGTAATGCTCCAATTTAGCCTGAAGGACCAGCTGGACAAAGCATTTTTAAATGTTCAAAGGCCAAAAAACTTTCTATCCTACCTCCTTGACCAGCCTTCAAAGAGCAAAAACTTCTTCATTGTGTAATGTTATTTATTATCCCTATTAAGCTTTGGCTTCTGGAGTTCGCATATTCCTTTCCCCCCCCCGATCAGTTGCAGTTGGGCAACTCAGAGTATCAAGGGATTAAACTTTTGCTATATTTGACAGTCATGTGACAATGTATTTCAGGGTCTTATATGAAGTAATAACAGAGGATAGTGGGGAGTGGGACAGGAATGAGGTTAGGCTCCCCTTTTCCCCCCAATTAAGGATATAATATTGGACTGTTTAAAATTTTGAACATTTTTATTAGAAAATGGGAGGGGTGGGGAGAGGGGGAAGGCAGGCATAGGGCAAATCTCTTAGGAGATTGTGTTGGCCTATATCTTGTAGCCAACGTTCTGTAAAGTGTGGAGGACCTGAGTGTGTGTGACTCTCTGGAGAACTTTTCTATGCAGCTGTTTTTAAAACTTGGCTTTAAAGATAGGTGAATACAAACCAACTTTTTTACTTGGAAATGTTTTCCTCCTTGTAACTCTTGCAAATAGGACTCGCAACAAAAAAACAGCTTAAAAGTGAAATGTTTCACAAAGTATATCAGTATCTTTTTAACTTCTATGGATTATTCTAGGTTAGGGCTCTATTCTGACTTTAATTATGCAAACATACATTTTTACTTTCTGCTTGACCAGCTGTGCTGTATCATATTTTGCCCAAAGAACATCCATATCTGTGAGTAGGCTCTGGAGTTTAGCTCAATGCTGTATTTGAATACAGATTTTAAAACCAATATATGCATAATGTGTATTTTTACCTCTTTTATTTTGACTGCATGAACAGCATCTGTCTAAATTTAAAAAAATGTATCGTGATTCCTGTCATTAAAATGTACACATTACTGCTTGGTTTAATTAGAAGCAGAGTGGGGGAGGGCTTCCTGTGCTGATTGCTGAGGACTGAAATACCTCTTGAATTATAGGCTCCAAGAGACAAGGACACACCTTTTTTTAACGAAACAAATTGAGAGGTCACATGCAATATGGAAAATCTGATCTGTAGATGGAGAAGATACCTCTTTATTTCTCTGAGGCCTAGAGTTGTGAAGAGTATTGTCAGAATGAGACACCTCTTGAATTCTCCCAATGTACTGGCTCTTTCCTTGCAATGGCCTTGGTGTAAACAGCTCTATAAAAAGCTTGCTAAATGTACATTATGGAAGTTACGCCGTTCTATTTGTTATCAACCAATGTTTAGAACAAACCTACTAAGTGAAATAACTTGACATTCACTCTCACAAGTCTTGCATTGGGAGCCAGAGAGGGCTGTAAGTGATATTTGTATTAGTGTTGTATCCCTTTTGTCCCCACCCACTCCACAAAACACTTAAAGCAATATTGAGGTGACAATCATTTGAACACATTCCTCTGCCCTACCAGTGCTCTCCTTTCTTCCTCACCCTTTTTTTGTTGTTGTTCTGAATATTTGCACTTCTATCAGGCTTTGGTGTTTACAGAAATGACACAGCTGCCTTGATATGTAAGGTATGCGTTATAGAATCCCAAACACACAACAGAAAAGGATAAAATGGCTTATTTCCAAGGTAGCAGCCTGGACTATTTTTGCATTAGCAGCCCACTTCATATTTGTATGAAACATTAAATGTCACTTGAATGAATGTATTTTGATATTTGTGGTTAGGGGTATAAGACTCTTAACTCCACAACTGGTGACTTTTTTTTTTTTTAAAGCTGTTAAGGATGTTAATAAAACTGTGTGAACTTGCATATTCCCAACCTTATCAGTTTTTTTTATTTTGCTTGTCACAGTGGAGGTTCCAGTACTTCAGGGGAAAAGCAGGCACTAAGAGGATGCTTCCTTTATTATAAGCCTTATGTCAGAATGCAGTAGGGATGTATATACTGGCAGTGAGTGGTTTTCCTGTTTCCTCAGAGGGAGATCATACTGGCTCTGAATTTGTTTGTGCTTAAAGGTGTAGCCCGGTTTCTGTGTTGATACATGTAATTTTCGTGATTTCATATTTGTGTTCCCTTTGGCCCAGCATGCCTGACCAGTACTCTTGTTACATGACTCACCAATAGCTATATGCAGCATTTTAGTAATTCAGTACATCCTATGGGATGGAATTAAATTCTACTCTTCAAACAAAATATGTTTATGCAGTGATATTAGTAAAGCATGCTGCCCAATCCTTTAGGAGCGCCATGCCAAAGGTGTGGTGAGCTTGATGTCATTTTCACAACTTGTTAGCTTTTAGTTGGATTGTTCCCTCTTGTGAATCAATTAATGGTTTGTGCATGTGTCTAGGGTAGAGGTCATGGATAAACTAATTTAAGTATTTCTAGCACCCCAAGATGTTTTTTTAGAGTCAGAAGTCTTCAAATAACCAGTTTGTCACTTACCTTCCTCTCCAAGTAACATAAAATCAGCTTATGAGCACTACTTAATAATTTTAATATAGAAAATCTATAATAGAATTTACATTAAAGTAATTAATAGTCTCTGCTTCTGTAGTCACAAAAGATGCAATCTCCTTACCAATGTAAGTGGCATTGGCTGACAATGCTTAGCCTCTAGCATGCCCAAGCTCTAACTGTTGTCAAATACTAGGAGGCTGATCTGGCATTCCTTTTGCAGGCATAATGCCCATTGACAATAAGAATGTGGCCTGTGTTTCACTGTCACCAGACTAGAGTAGACTAGTAAAATAGCTCATCAGCACCGCTGGCTAACAAGGATATATCAGTGGCCCACTATTTTAATATTTGGCAGTTGGGGGAATTAGACGTAGGAATTTTTTCAACCTGAAACTTTTCTAACACCATAAGAACTTAGAGGCTCTTGCTCATGCCCGGGTCCTTTGTAAATCTCAGGGCCATGTTCTGTTACCGACTTAATATAACTTAACTCTCATTCCAGTCCTACACTTGCAGTAGTTTTACCGCTTCCTGTAGGGTATGTAGCTGGATAATTGTTGCTTCATTTATCCACAGGAATTTTTGTGAATGACTTCCTATAACAATATATCTGAGGACCAGACGAAGACAGTGATGCATTGGAGACATACAGGAAAAACCCACGTTCCCACACTGCACCATGGTGTTACTGCTTTAGAAAGGGTCACACTCTTGCCACCTCTCATGACTGTACAAGGAGTCTTGCTTTGTTTTTCTTGAAACCATAGCTCTTGGAATCCTCAGCTTTCATTGGGGGGAAAAAAAATTCTAGCCCTCAGTGTTAGAGAAAAGCTTGACCAAGCTGTACCAGTAAGCTTCAAAGTTAGACATCAAATGAAAGAACACCTTTTATTTTTAAAATTAGTTTTACGCTAATCTCATGATTTTTAGGGGTACCTGACATGATTTTTGGATAGTTGGGGTTGGCAATACTTGTGAATACCTAGGCCCAGATTCATAAAGTTATTTAGGCTCCTTACTTCCAGTGAAATCAATGGAAGTTAGGAGCCATGTAATGTATAATTCACTAACACATAAGTGACAGTGTGCTTTTAATGAGGTTTTTCTCTCACTAAACTCGGGTGCAATCCTGGGCTTGCTGGGGACAGTTACACCTCTGTAAAGTGTGATTTTTAAAGCCCAATGCCACTATAAGTGCCCCTATGACTACCCTTATTCTGTTATAAAAGCACGTGGGGGTGGTCTTTAGTTCATCTGACCTTGAAAGATGATTAAGCTAAATTGCAAAAAGCCACTTATTCTGGAACAACTGTTCATGCATGTTTTATAGCGGTAGATCTAGGTGGTTTATGTTGGTACAGTATCATAAATGGTACAAATTTTCTTGTTTAGACAAGCCTGAATTCACATCTACACCTCTGCACACCCACTGTGACATAATTACTAATTCACACTCAGCTACACTCCCACCCATTAACTCACTGACAAAGTTACATCTATACTTAAACAACTACACGGGTAATGCTCTTAAGGGTGTCAGTATAGATCAGGGGTCAGCAGCCTTTCAGAAGTGGTGTGCCGAGTCTTCATTTATTCACTCTGAATAAAGGTTTTGCATGCCAGTAATACATTTTAATGTTTTTAGGACTCTTTCTATAAGTCTATAATATATAACTAAACTATTGTTGTATGTAAAGTAAATAAGGTTTTTAAAACGTTTAAGAAGCTTCCTTTAAAATTAAATTAAAATACAGAGCCCCCCGGACTGGTGGCCAGGACCCCAGGCAGCGTGAGTGCCACTGAAAATCAGCTCGCGTGCTGCCTTTGGCACACGTGCCATAGGTTGCCTACCCCTGGTATAGATGCTGGTGGGAGGGGTTCTCCTGTTAGTACAAGTAATCCACCTCCCCCAAAGGAGGAATTGTTCCATTGACCTAGCACTGTCTAAGCTGGTGGCATACCTATGTGTCTCGGGGGTGTGGATTTCACCCTGAGAGACATAACTATGCCAGTGAACTTCATATTGTGGACCAGCTATCATTCGCATTAAGTATGGCCATGCTGCATCAGTCCATTGAGCCCAGTATCCTGTCTTCCGACTGTGGCCAGATGCTTCAGGGCCAATGAACAGGACAATTTCGAGTGACCTATCCCTTGTCCAGTCCCAGCCTCTGCTAGGTTTAGGGCAGGGGTTCTCAAACTGGGGGTTGTGAGGTTATGATGT